TGCTCCTGGGCTCGAGCCGTCCGCCCTCCTCAGCCTCCCCAGCAGCTGGGACCACGGGCGCATCCACCACGCTCAGCTAATTCGAACTATTTTTGTAGCCATGGGGTCACCCCAAGGGGTCCAAGCTGGTCTGGAGTTCCTGGGCTCAAGGCATCTTCCGACCTCGGCCTCCCAAAGTGCTGGGATGACAGGCGTGAGCCACGCGCCCGGCCGGCCCTCACTCTAGAAAAACGTTTCGGCCGAGCAGGAAACGCCTCAGCGCGTGAAAGATGTCGCCCGCGGCTGTTCTGTCTGCTACCGGCTCAGTTTCTCTACCCCTCCGCTGGAGGCCCCGGCCGTCCGCGCCCGCCATGGAGGCTGCGCATCTGATTCTCCCGCTGGCTTCACACCACGTTTCCCGCACCCGGGGTTCCGGTCTCCTCCACTGCCTCCCCGCACCCGGGTTCCCGTCTCCTCCACTTCCTCCCCGCACCCGGGTTCCGGTCTCCTCCACTTCCTCCCCGCACCCGGGTTCCGGCCTCCTCCACTTCCTCTCCGCACCCGGGGTTCCGGTCTCCTCCACTTCCTCCCCGCACCCGGGGTTCCGGTCTCCTCCACTTCCTCCCCGCACCCGGGTTCCGGTCTCCTCCACTTCCTCCCCGCAGCTGGGTTCCGGTCTCCTCCACTTCCTCCCCGCACCCGGGTTCCGGTCTCCTTCACTTCGTCCCCGCACCTGGGGTTCCGGTCTCCTCCACTTCCTCCCCGCACCCGGGTTCCCGTCTCCTCCACTTCCTCCCCGCACCCGGGTTCCCGTCTCCTCCACTTCCTCCCCGCACCCAGGGTTCCGGTCTCCTCTACTTTCTCCCCGCACCCGGGGTTCCCGTCTCCTCCACTTCCTCCCCGCACCCGGTTTCCGGTCTCCTCCACTTCCTCCCCGCATCCGGGGTTCCGGTGTCCTCCACTTCCTCCCCGCACCCGGTTTCCGGTCTCCTCCACTTCCTCCCCGCACCCGGTTTCCGGTCTCCTCCACTTCCTCTCCGCACCCGGGGTTCCGGTCTCCTCCACTTCCTCCCCGCAGCTGGGTTCCGGTTCCGCCTGCGGAAACTCTCGGCCTCGCCTTTCCCGAGTCTCTCTCGTGTCCAGTCGGCGCGTGTCAGGTCCGCTGCGAGTCTCCACGTGTCTTTGTTAAGCGCAGCCTCACTGAGAGAAAAGGCGCGGATCGTACAGTTCATCCATTTAAAACGGCACGGTCCGGCAGGGCGCCGTGGCTCACGCCTGTAATCCCCTCACTTTTGGAGGCCCAGGCAGGCGGATCACCTGAGATCAGGGGTTCGAGACCAGCCTGGCCACCATGGCAACGCCCGTCTCTACTAAAGATGCAAACGTTAGCCAGGTGTGGTGGCACGCGCCTGTAGTCCCCGCCGCCCGGGAGGCTGAGGCAGGAGAATTGCCAGGACGCGGGAGGCGGAGGCTGCGGGGAGCCGAGATCCGCAGTCTCCTCACAGAAAAGGGTGGTGGATGTGGGAAACGGGGCCGTGAATCGAATGGAACACGCTTCCGGGGCCGTAGATAATGTGCTGTCTTTTTATGTAGCAGTACATGCAAAAAGCACCCGATTTGCTCGAAAGGTGAGAAACAACAAAATTTATAACCATCACGAACGTCAATAACATACACAAGGCCGGATGCAGAGGCTCGCATCTGTAATCCCAGCACTTTGGGAGGTCGGCGCGGGTGGATTACTTGAGTCCAGGAGTTCGAGACCAGCCTGGGCAACATGGTAAAACTCTGTCTCTACAAAAAAACCCCACAAAAATTAGCTGGGCATGGAGGTGTGCGACTGTAGTTCCAGCTGCTTGGGAGGCTGAGGCAGGAGGATCGTTTGAGCCCAGGACGTGGCGGTCGCAGTGAGCTGAGATTGCACCGTTGCGCTTTAGCTCCAGCCTGGGTGACAGAGCGAGACCTGTCTCAAAAGCAAAAACAAACCCAAGAAAAACAAAACCGAAAAACATATACACTAAAAAACACTACGTATTTGTCATGAGTATGTGCGCATGTATGTAAATAAACTTACGGAAGATGAATTGGAAAGATATGTGCAAGGATCAATGCCTATGGGTGGAGAGGAAGGTGGCACTTGGGGTAATGATGGAGAAAAAAGTTAAATAATAACAAGAAGGTCTATGTAGGGTTCATTAGTCGAGGATTGTGATCTGTACAATTCTCAGCACATAAATGATGCATAAATATGTGTGCGCATATATATATATATATATATATATATATATATATATATTTTTTTTTTTTTTTTTTGAGCTGGAGTCTCACTCTTGTTGCCCAGGCTGGAGTGTTGTGGTGCGATCTCGGCTCAGTGCAACTTCCACCTCCTGGGTTCAAGTGATTCTCCTGCCTCAGCCTCTTGAGTACCTATTATTACAGGCACAGGCCACCACTCTTGCTGTGTGTTTTGTTGTTGTTGTTGTTGTTGTTGTTTGTATTTTTAGTAGAGACGGGGTTTCACCATGTTGGTCAGGCTGGTCTCGAACTCCTGACCTCAGGTGATCCTCCCACCTCCGCTTTCCAGTGCTGGGATCACAGGTGCGAGCCGTGGCACCCACCGAGCCCTTGTTTTTATTTTGTCTACTATTAATATAGCTTTCTTTGCATGTTATATCTTTTTCTACCCCCCCCTTTTTTTACCTTTTGAAACCTAATGTTTTAGATGAAACATTTGACTTTACATAGAGTTACACATTTTTAAAGAAAACTAGTCTAGCAATCTATATTTAAACTAGAGCACTTTATGCATTTACTTATAATTTGAAATATTTGGGTTTAAATCTGTGTTCTTAATTTGAATTTTCTATTGCATCACCTGATCTATGTTTCTTTTTCTCTTACATTCTTTTTTATTAGTGCTGTTTTATTATTCCAGTTTTTTTCTAACAGTTTGTCACACACAACTTCGATTGTCTCCCCCTAATGATTCCTGCTACATGTAGGAGTCTTGGGTCTTCTTTGCTTCTTTTCCATTTTTGTCATTGTCTCTTGAATCCTTTTTAGCTCTTCATTTCTTTTTGGCTTTTAAAATTTTTTATGCTTCTTCTTCTTATTTTTTGAGACGGAGTCTCACTCCGTCGCCAGGCTGGAGTACAGTGGTGCGATCCCGGCTCACTGCAACTTCCATTTTCAAGCAACTCTCCTGCCTCAGCCTCCCGAGTAGTTGGGACCACAGGCACGCACCATCACACCCGGCTAATTTTTTGTACTTTTAGTAGAGACAGGGTTTCACCATGTTGGCCAGGATGGTCTCAATCTCTTGACCTCGTGATCTACCCGCCTTCTAAAGTGCTGGGATTACAGGCGTGAGCCACCACGCCTGGCCTAGAATTTATTGTACTTACTTACTCATGTGTTTGCCCCATTTTAGATTTTATTTTATTTTATTATTATTATTATTATTATTTGAGACGGAGTTTCGCTCTTGTTACCCAGGCTGGAGTGCAATGGCGCGATCTCGGCTCACCGCAACCTCCGCCTCCCGGGTTCAGGCAGTTCTCCTGCCTCAGCCTCCTGAGTAGCTGGGACTACAGGCATGCGCCACCGTGCCCAGCTGATTTTTTGTATTTTTAGTAGAGACGGGGTTTCACCATGTTGACCAGGTTGGTCTCAATCTCTTGACCTCGTGATCCACCCACCTCGGCCTCCCAAAGTGCTGGGATTACAGGCTTGAGCCACCGCGCCCAGCCCTTAAATTTTATTTCTAGAGTGATTTCTTTTATCTCTAATTTCCTCTTGAGTGATGTCACCTCATTTAGCAGTTCTTCCACTTATGGCTTTTGTTGTTCATTTTTGTCTTTTCTTTTGAAACGGGGTTTCACTTCATTGCCCAGCCTGGAGTGCAGTGGCAGGATCATGGTGCCCTGCAGCCTCAGCCTCCCAGACTCAAGCCATCCACCCATGTCAGCTTCGCTAGTAGCTGGGACTAAAGACACACACCACCATGCCCACTTAATTTTAAAAATGTTTTGTAGAGCTGTGGGTCCCACTATGTTGCCCAGGCTGGTTTTGAACTCTTGGCCTCAAGTGATCCTCCTGCCTCAGCCCCAAATTGCAGGGATTACAGGCACGAGCCACCACATGCAGCCTCATTTATGTCTGTATCATTTCCTTTCATTGTTGATTAGCTCCTTTGGGAACAGTCGGCTACCACTGTGATCTGTTTCACGGCAGGTCTCCCCGGCATTCTTTCATTACCTGTAAGGACTTACCGAGGGCCCTTGCACCCACTCAGCAATGGAGGGAGGAAAGCCTTCCCCATTTCAGGAGCCGAATTCAAAATTCATGCTGTGCTTTTCCAGCAAATGCCTGTTGGTGACTGTGAGGTTTCCTGCTTTCCTCTCTGTGAGATGTTTCTTTGCTCTCTCCTGCACGGACCCTGAAACCCTGGCTGACTGCGGCTCTTGGAAACTTGTCCTGACAGGCTTGTATTTTCAGGTTCCCTTGCTGTTGTTGTCTTTGGTTTATGGAGACAAAGTCTCATGTTATGTTGCCCAGGAGTTCAGAGGCACAATCAAAACTCACTGCAGCCTCAAGATCCCGGGCTCAAGCCATCCTCCTGCCTCAGCTTCCCCAGTAGCCAAGGCTACAGGTGTGCGCCATCAGGCCCGGCTTACCTGGCTTTATTATAAGTCTCCACCGTGCATTTTCGGTTTTGTTACTGATTTGCTTGGTGCCTTGTGGGCTGTGGGAATGTACAGGGCTCAGATGCAGTCAACCCTGTGTTCATGTGTGCTGCCACCTTTGGAGTTTCCAGTTTGGATTTTTGAGTAAACTGTCTGAAGCAGCATTTCCCTTTATCATCGGGAAACTAACAATAGCCATGTCCCCTACAAGATGCGCCTTTGACACACTTTTATTCCCAGTCCTACATGTGGTTGAAACAATCTCAGCCTTTATTTCTAGATTATTTCATTTTTCCTTATGCTGCGTGTCTTTTATCTCAGAAATATGTCTTTGGAATGTCCGCCCTGTTCTTCCCCAGCAGTATCAGCAGTCGCTCAGATCTGCGGGCGTTCCGTGGGAGCTCACTTCTCACCAGCGCTCCTGTGCACTCTCCTCCCTCCACCTTTTCCCTCCGTGTTTGCTCGGCAGGAGGTGGTCTTCAGAGCACTCTTGTCCCCTCCTCCAACGGCGTGAGTTCTAAAGCCTTGCCTGTGTCGCTGTGTGGTGATGCGTCACCATGAAACAGATGGACTTGGCTCAGGTTCCCCAAATGTGTCACTTCCCAGGAACTCCCCTTTCCTGCTGGGAGACTGAGCTCTGAGCACACCTGGGGCCATTCTATAACTTTCCGGTTACTTTTAGTTATGGAAAGCCCGTTGACTTCATAATTCTAAAAGGCGAATTTTGTGTTTGAATCAGGTGCGCTGTGGCTCAGCGGCGCTTCCCTCCCCCTTCCCCGACCTTGCCCTGCCTGGGGTCCTTCCAAGGCCCCTGAAGAGAGCAGGAAGCTGGCAGCCAGGAGTCCTGGGCCACACCCTGCTCGGCTGGTCTTCAGTGCTCAGGGCCCTCCTGCCTCTCAGTGTCTCTAGGGCAGACATTGAATGCCGAATCCGCCCCAGGCTGAGCCCTCTTCTCCTGCAGGTAGAGAGGGTGAAGATATTTGAGGCGGCGAGGAGGGCAGAAGTGAACGGTGGGGTGCTTTGTGAATGCACCAGGCCTGCTGGCAGGCACTTCCCAGCTTAGCGGACAGATCCCAGCACACAGACTGTCACCGCAGAGAAAAGGGGCTGGACAGAATGGCACCAAGTGTACAGTTGGTTTACAGACAGGAGAGGCTTTATTGCAAGGAAATTCACTGGTTATTTTGTTTTTCTTTTCTAAACAGATGGAGACAACAGGAAGGAAGGAGCCCTTCCTGGTCACAGGAGGGTCACAGGAGAATAGGCAGCGGCCCAGGAGGACCCAGTGTCCCGATGGTGTTGGGGAGCCGGTTCTTAGTGATCACCCAGAAACGCCGGCCCGGCCTTGTGGGGTCAGACCTTGCATCTCAGTCAGCCAGGCGGGAGAAGATGGTTCACACCCAAAGGTGGGGAACACTGTGGCAGTCTGTTCGGTGCCCCCGTCCAGGCGAGGACATCTCCTGCATCAAGGAAACACGCGTGTCTGGAGTGAGGAGGCCGAAGGCAGGGCCCGGTGGAGAGCCGAGCCATGGAAGGAGGCGTGTGCGTGGATACGAGCTGGAGCAGGTGCAGGAGCCTCGGGGAGGATGTGTGGGATGAACTGATTCAGGAAAACCATAAGAAACGCTTTCACCAAACAGGAGAAACCTGACGGTCTGGGTTCAGAGCCTCAGATCTTACACTGGCAGCACACGGGGACACAGCAGCTGGATTGACAGCAGCAGGGTTTGCAGCAGCTGGACTGACAGCAGCAGGGTTTGCAGCAGCTGGATTGACAGCAGCAGGGTTTGCAGCAGCTGGACTGACAGCAGCAAGGTTTGCAGCAGCTGGATTGACAGCAGCAGGGTTTGCAGCAGCTGGACTGACAGCAGCAGGGTTTGCAGCAGCTGGACTGGCAGCAGGATGACCCACAGCCTGAGGAGCAGCAGCTGGGCTTACAGCAGCTGGACTGGCAGCAGCCACAAGAGCCACAGCCTCCTTTGGATCCTCCACAGGAGCCACAACCCCCCTTGGAGCCCCCACAGGAGCCACAGCCCCCCTTGGAGCCCCCACAGGAGCCACAGCCCCCCTTGGAGCCCCCACAGGAGCCACAGCTGCAGCAGGAACAGGCTGGCACACAGCAGCAGACGGGCTTGCAGCAGCAGACAGGCACACAGCAGCTGGAGCCACAGCCCCCACAGCCGGAGCCACAGCTCCCACAGCTGGAGCCACAGCCCCCGCAGCCAGAGCCACAGCCTCCGGAGCAGCCACAGCAGCCCATGTTTCTGGTGGATTGAGGGTGGAGCAGGTAGAGGAACAGGTGAGAGGGAGGGGCAGGTGTGGAGCTCCCTGAGCCCAGGCTCTTTATATACCTGTCCAGAGTCAGGCAAGACACAGGGGCCCTTCCTTGTGATTGTTTTCACTACTTTTCCAGAACTCTATTTTTTTCCTCTATGCTAGTGACTTCCTCCTGGCTCAGTTGAGCATCTGTTTTCTTTGTGTGCTAAATTTGTCTTTTTCCCTCATTTGTTTTGGCCCCTATAATTAAAACCTCAGCTGCTGGCTGTGGGTGCTTCCCACAGAGCCCCAGGGTGCTGGTCTCCTGCTCTCTGCTGACCACATGTGACCAATGGGTGACAGCCTCGGCCCGAGCGCCCTCATGTTCCTATGTTGACTCCCCCAATAATATTAACTTTACATTTTTAGATTTCAAATGTTATCCATGGTCTTTACAGGAAACACGAAACAGAAAACAAATTGCTCATTATCGTGTCTCCTGGAGATGGATTTGGTAGATTTCTGCAAGCATAATATAAATATAAATGTTCATATATATTATATGAAGTAATATTTTACTCACGCCATTCTCAGCTTTCTGGGTATATTAGACCGTTCTTTGCATTGCTCTAAAGAAATGCTTGGGATTGGATGATGTATGAAGGATAGAGGTTCGATTGGCTCATGGTTCTGCAGCTCCACAGGCATGGCACCCCCCTCTGCTCGGCTTCTGGGGAGGCCCTCAGCGAGCTCTTCCTCATGGTGGCAGGAGAAGCAGGAGCAGGCACGGCACATGGTGAGCGCGGGAGCAAGGGGGAGGGGCCGCACACTTGTGAACAACCAGATCTGAGTGAACCCACTCACCACCGAGGGGAGTGCGCTGAGCCATTCATAGGGATCCACCCCCATGATCATGATCCAGACACCTCCCCGCAGCCCCTCCTTCAACACCGGGGATTACATTCCAGCATGAGATTTGGAGGGGACCTGCCAAGTATATCATGATGCCCGTGACCCCTAAAGTCTCATGTCCTTACATTGCAAAACACAATCGTCTCTTCCAAACAGTACTCCCAACGTCTCGACTCATTCCAACGTCAAGTCCAAAGCCCCAAGTCCACGTGCCTTCCACCTGTGAACCTGTGAAAGTGAAAACACATTATTTGCTTTCAGGATACAATGAGGGTGGAGACACTGGGTAAACATTCCCATTCCAAAAGGGAGAAATCCGCCAAAAGGAAGAGGCCGCAGACCCCATGCCTGTCTGAAATCCAGCAGGGCAGCCATGACATCTCAAAGCTCAAAATAATCTCCTTGGACTCCCTGTCCCACACCCAGGGTGCACTGGTGTGAGGGTGGGCGCCTAAGGCCCTGGGCAGCTCCACCCTGTGACTCTGCAGGGTTCACTCCGTCCAGCTGCTGTCACGGGCTGGAGTGGAGTCCTGCAGCTCTCTGCTCAGGATGCCAGCTGCCAGCGGCTCCACCGTGCTGGGACCTGGAGGACGGTGGCCTCCTTCCCACAGCTCCACAGCAGCGCACTGGTGTGGGACCTCCTACCCCACATTTCCCCTTCACAGTCCCCGTGGAGGGGCGTGCCCTGCAGCAGACTTTGCCTGGGCCCTCAGGATTTCTCACAGACGGTCTGAACTCCAGGTGGAGGCAGCCAAACCTTGGCTCTTGCACTCTGCGTGCCTGCAGGGTTAACACCAGGGGGAGCTGCTGAGGCTTATGGCTTCCACCCTCTGAAGCAGTGGCCTGAGCTGTACCTGGGCCCCACGAGTGGCCGAGATGCGGAGAATGATGTCCCAAGGCTGCGCAGGAGAGTTTGGCCCTAGGCGTCGGTCCTCTAGCTTGTCACGGGCAGGGGCAAAGATCCGTGAGATACATTCCAAGGCTTTTTCCCATCGTCTTGGTTATCAGCACCTGCCTCCCTTTTATTCATGCAGATCTCTCTAGCCAGTGGTTTTCCACAGCCTTCTTGAATTCCTCTCCCGATCACGCTTTTTCTTGCTGTGTCACTTGGCCAGGCTGCAACTTTTCCAAGCTTTGATGCTTTGTGTTTCCTTTAAATATAAATTCCAACTTTAAGTCATTTACTTGCTCCTGCATCTGAGTGTGGGCTCTTAGGAGGCACCAGGTCATGCCTCAGATGTTTTGCTGCTTAGAAATTACTTCCACCAGATACCCTAAATCATCACTCCTAAGTACAAATGACCACAGATTCCTAGGCTGTGAACACACAGCCGCGCTCTCGGCCACAGCCTACCAAGAGTGACCTTTGATCCAGTTCTCAATGAGTTCCAGATTTCCACATGAGACCTCATCAGCCTGGACTTCACTGTCCTTTTCACTGTCAGCATTTTGGTCACCACCATTCACCCTGTCTTCAAGAAGCTCTAAACTCTCCCTCATTTTCCTGTCTTCTTCTGAGTCCTCCAGACTCTTCCAGTGTCTGCCTGTTACCCAGTTCCAAAGTCCTCTCCACACTTTCAGGGGCCTTTGCAGTAACACTTCACTTCTGGTACAATTTTCTGAGGCTGGGCAATTTGTAAAGAAAAGGGGCTTAGCCGGGCGCAGTAGCTCACGCCTGTAATCCCAGCACTTTGGGAGGCCGAGGCGGGTGGATCACGAGGTCGAGAGATCGAGACCATCCTGGTCAACATGGTGAAACCCCATCTCTACTAAAAGTGCAAAAAATTAGTTGGGCGTGGTGGCACGTGCCTGTAATCCCAGCTACTCAGGAGGCTGAGGCAGGAGAATTGCCTGAACCCAGGAGGCGGAGGCTGCGGTGAGCCGAGGTCGTGCCATTGCACTCCAGCCTGGGTAACAAGGGCGAAACTCCGTCTTAAAAAAAAGAAAAGGGGCTTAACTGGCTCATGGTTCTGCAGGCTGTACAAACGTGGCTTCAATATCTGCTTGGCTCCTGATGAGGCCCTCAGGGAGCTTTTACTCATGATGGAAGGTGAAGCAGGCACAGGCACTCCACATGGTGAGAACAGGAGCAAGAGAGAACAGGTGGCGGGGAGAGGTGCCACACATTTTTATTTCATTTTTATTTTTGAGACGAAGTCTCATTCTGTCTCCCAGGCTGGAGCGCAGTGGCACAATCTCAGCTCCCTGCAACCTCACCTCCCAGGTTCAAGTGATTCTCCTGCCTGAGCCTCCTGAGTAGCTGGGATTACAGGTGCCTGCCACCATGTCTGGCTACTTTTTCAATTTTTAGTTGAGATGGGGTTTTGCCATGTTGGCCAGGCGGGTATCAAACACCTGACCTCAGGTGATCCGCACGCCTCAGCCTCCCAAAGTGCTGGGGCTGCAGGCGTGAGTCACCGCGCCCAGGCTACACATTTTTAAACAATCGGATCTTGGGTGAACTCAGTCATCAACAAGGGTATGGTGCTAAGGCGTTCATGAAGGGTCTGCCCCCACAACCCAAACATCTTTTTTTTTTTTTTTTTTTTTTTTTTTTTTTTTGAGATGGAGTCTTGCTCTGTCACCAGGCTGGAGTGCAGTGGCGCAATCTCAGCTCACTGCAACCTCCGCCTCCTGGGTTCAAGCGATTCTTCCGCCTCAGCCTCCTGATTAGCTGGGACCATAGGTCCAGGGCTTTTAGTAGAGACGGGGTTTCACCATGTTGGCCAGGATGGTCTTGATCTCTTGACCTCGTGATCCGCCTGCCTCAGCCTCCCAAAGTGCTGGGATTACAGGCATGAGTCACCGTGCCCAGCCGATCCAAACATCTTTTATCCCACCCCACCAACGTAAGAATTGGAGGGGACAACCAAATGGTATCGTTGGAAATCCCGTCCTTTTTTTTTTTTTTTTTTTTTTTGAGACAAGGTCTTGCTCTGACACCCAGCCTGGAGTGCAGTGGTGTGCTAACAGCTCACTCCTGGGCTTAAAGGATTCTCCTACCTCAGCCTCCTGAGTAGCTGGGACTATACATGTGTGTCACCATACCCAGTTAATTTTTAAATTTTTTGTAGAGATGGGTCTTGCCATGTTGCCCTGGCTGGTCTCAAACTCCTTGTCTGCAGCAATCTTCCTGCCTTGGCCTTCCAACGTGCTGGGATTACGGGCATGAGCCACCACACCCAGCCAGTGTTTTTTCCCTTTACCATACAAATAATAATATAATGTCATTCTGGTGTTTGCAGGGAATCTTTTCCTCTACTCAGTATTTCTGAAAATCCCACAGAAGTCCCTGCTGTCGTCTTCTGTCTTCCCCATTCAGAGCGTTCACCCCTCTTCGGCTGCTCCTTCCAGCTGCCCACTTTGGGTCCCTGCTCAGTTTTTCTCCGTGGGGGAAAGACAGGTTCCTTTCTGCCATGGTCTGCATGTGTCCCCCAATATTCACGTGTTGGAAGCATCATCCCCAGTGCAAGAGTGCTGAGAGGCGGGTCCTAGTGGGAGGTGCTTGTAATGGGTTGGTGATGCTGTAAAAAGGACTTGAAGGGAAGCTTTTGCTGTCTTCTGCTTTCCTTCCACGTAAGGACACCACATTCATGCTCCCTTGTCCTTCTGCCTCCAAACCTGTCAGGGCACAGTAAGAAGGCCCACACCAGACACCAGCACCTTGATCTTGGACTTGCCAGCCTCCAGGGCTGCGAGAGAGTAAGTGTCTGTTCTTTATGAACTACCCAGTTCAGATGTTGTGTTATAGCAGCAATAACAAACTAAGACAGTGTCATCACCAAACCACTGCTAGTCCGAGGGTACTTGGTTCAAGGGACGCAGGCTGCACCCTGAGGACAGCGTGAGGAGCACATTACTGAAAAGGAAACTGAAGTCTGCCCACCAGAGGTCCCTGCCCCCAGTTCTCCTGGCCATGCTCTTAGGCATTGGTTCCCGCTGGCTGCCGTCTTCCTCAGGCCCCAGGCCCAGCTGCCCTTGCCTGGGACTCCTCCTTTTTGTATGGGAATTTCTCTCCTTTCCTTCTGCTCCCCATCAGTCCCTGCTTCTGATCCCAGTCCTGATGAGTTGCCCTCCAGACTGGCAAACTACATGTTGATCTCTGCAGAAATGCACCTGCTTCTCATCAAGGCACCTTTTACCTGATTAAATGGTGAACTGAACAGCTCAGTCAGCAGCATTTGTGTGTGGGTGACCCACCCATCTCCAGGCCTCCCTAGAATGGCCAGGCAGTTGTCTCTGCTTCTGTGTATGGAACTAGCTTTCCTTGTATGTAAATCACCCTTGCATGCCTGCAATGGATCCACCTTGGTCACAGTGTTTGTCTATTTTGATTCCCTGTTGAATTCTGTTGACTAACATTTAGAAATTTTGCATGTCTTTTCAGAATTAAAATTTGGAGAGTGTTCGGGGAAGATGGTAGCTTGAGTAAGTAGTACCTCTCCTCTCCTGCTGACCTTCACTCCCACCCATTTCAGCCTCTGTTCCGCAGCACAGCGGGCACGGAGGTTGTGAGGTTGTGGATAAGGTGTTAGGCTTCATCTGAAACCCTGGGCTGGATAGAACTTGGGAACAGCATTGGAGACCATGGTCTGGGAGAAGATTGGAAGGTGAAGGGTTTGGAGAAAGGCTTGGACCACAGAGAGCCACAGAACGGAGTGGGGATCAGTGTCTGTCCTTTTCTCATTATACTTATCAAAACCTGGTAAGTTTTTGGGGAGTGGGGCTAGGGGCCTGGGTCCTCTAGCTTGTGACGGGAAGGGCCAAAGACTCCTGAGGTACATTTGAAGTCTTTCCCATTGCCTGGCTTATCAGCACCTGCCTCCCTTTTATTTTTTATATAGAATGTGCAACATGGAATGTGAACTCCAGTGTGGACTAAGGTCTTGGGGTGATAATGATGTGTCCACGTAGGCTCATCAGTTGCAAGGAATGTACCACTCTGGCGTGGCTTGTTGATAGTAGTGGAGGCCGTGCATGTGTGGGGTCAGGTGGCTATGGGAGCTCTTTGCACTTTCTGCTTAATTTTGCTGTGAACCGTAAATTCTTCCAAAAAATAAAGTCTACTGAAAAATAGTTGCAAATGAACTGAAGATGATCGTTGAGATTCAAATTAGTGGTCTTGAAGATTAAGTAGAAAAAAGTCTTGAATTGACTGGAACAGAAAGAAATTGAAAAGATGAGAGAAAAGATTTGAAAACAGACCTAGGACGTCAGGTGCAAATAACATCGGAGCTTCAGGGGGAGGAAAAGAGGCAGATGGAGGAGAGGCTGTGAGGAAGCACAGAAGAGAAAATGTCCTGAAACAAAGGAAAATGAACCGTAGGAATATTCTGGTAAACTGGTATGAGCTGCTTGACATGAAGAAAAAGAATACAGCAATATCCCATCAGTGTGCTTGCCCAAGAGTACAACATGTCACTAATGTACTCGCCTAAGAATACATCAACATGTCACCAATGTACTTGCCTAAGAATACAGCAACATGTCAACATGTACTTGCCCAGAAACATAGCAATATGTCACCAATGTGCTCACCTGCAGAACTCCTTGAGGAGATGTTCTAATGAGAAAACAGAATCAGGAGTCCTCAAGAGGACACTGAATTCTGGTAAAGACGGAGGCTGTGGAATGCAAGACTCTGGCATGTTTTTTCCAAGAAATTCTCCTAAAACGAAGTGACAGAGGGACAGAGACATGTTGAACATAAAAAGGAAGATGGGTAACAGCAAAAGGAAAAAAAAAAAGAAGAATAGGAAAAAATAACCCGGAGCAGCAAGTTGGCAGGTGGGACTTAGGGTCAAAGCACCAAGCAGGCCGGGTGGCTCATCCCTGTAATCTGGGGAAACTGAGGCAGGAGGCCCACTTGAACCCAGAAGTTCAAGACCAGCTTTGGTAACAGCAAGACCCCATCTCTATGAAAAAAATTAAAAACAAAATAGCTGGGCATGGTGGCACCCACCCGTAGTCCCAGCTACTCAGGAAGCTGAGGCAGGAGGATCACTTGAGAGCAGGAATTTGAGGCTGCAGTGAGCTACAATCACACTACTGCAGTCCAGCCTGAGTGACAGGGTGACAGGATCACACTACTGCAGTCCAGCCTGAGTGACAGGGTGACAGGATCACACTACTGCACCCCAGCCTGAGTGACAGGGTGACAGGATCACACTACTGCAGTCCAGCCTGAGTGACAGGGTGACAGGATCACACTACTGCACCCCAGCCTGAGTGACAGGGTGACAGGATCACACTCCTGCAGCCCAGCCTGAGTGACAGGGTGACAGGATCACACTCCTGCAGCCCAGCCTGAGTGACAGGGTGACAGGATCACACTCCTGCAGCCCAGCCTGAGTGACAGGGTGACAGGATCACACTCCTGCAGCCCAGCCTGAGTGACAGGGTGACAGGATCACACTCCTGCAGTCCAGCCTGAGTGACAGGGTGACAGGATCACACTCCTGCAGCCCAGCCTGAGTGACAGGGTGACAGGATCACACTCCTGCAGCCCAGCCTGAGTGACAGGGTGACAGGATCACACTCCTGCAGCCCAGCCTGAGTGACAGGGTGACAGGATCACACTCCTGCAGCCCAGCCTGAGTGACAGGGTGACAGGATCACACTCCTGCAGCCCAGCCTGAGTGACAGGGTGACAGGATCACACTCCTGCAGCCCAGCCTGAGTGACAGGGTGACAGGATCACACTCCTGCACCCCAGCCTGAGTGACAGGGTGACAGGATCACACTACTGCACCCCAGCCTGAGTGATGGGTGAGACCCTGCTTCTAATAATGATAATGAGGGAGCTTTCAAGATCACACTTTCAGAATGGGGGACATCATTAGACAAAAGCAAGTAAGGACTTGGAGGCACTGAAGAATCTGAGAAGCCCGACAATTCAGTTTGGGAAGTGGTCCCCTCACCACCAGCCCACCCCGCTCCCTCTTCCAGAGCCTGCATCTCTGCTTCTGTTATGGCTGGCAGCTAGCCACGTCACTCTTTCCTCAATTTCCCCATGATTTTAGCTTCTGGCCCATAACTACTTTCTCTGACTGTAGAAAATGATGTATATGGAGGTCCATTTTCAGACTAGAACACCTCATATAGGCATGGGTCCTCAGACTGCAAAATAACGAGACACACTAACGCCCCGCCGAAAGAGCCACTGCTGCTCCTCAGGGCCCCTTAGTTACCCTCACCTGAACCAAAACATTTGGTCTAAAACGAAAAGATACCAGCCTGCAAAATAGCTTGCTTCATCTATTCTTACCAGCTTGCCTGACTACAAGTGTGAGAAACATTCATTCACCCATCCAGACCCCGAGAATGGGCTCGGAGACGCAGAAAGCAGTGGGAGCGGGACTTTTCGCGACGGTCCTGCAGGATCGGGTGTCTGGTGGGCGGGCACACCCGGGGCAGTTACAAGAAGCAGTTTGTCTCCTAGAGTGCAAGTGTGTTGGAAGCAGAAAAGTTCCTTTTTAAACTTTCCTTTCTTGTGAAAAAATAGCATGCTAATAACTTTGTTAAGTCCTGTCCTATGTAGCTGTCAGACACACCACGCTTGCAGGTGTGTAGCACACTCTGTGTCCTTTACTTTCACCAAGGTATCTGTGCCGGATGTGCTCACAGGCATGTCCCAGCTCTCCGTTGCTTTTACCTTTTCAGAAAAGTTTTAAGTTGTAGCCAACCGGGTTTTAGTTTAGATTGTAAGGTCTGGCTCCAGCCAACGGAGATCAGACACAGCGGTAAGGACGACCCCAAATGCGTGAGGGATAAACTTGTGTGTTTCCATGTGTTCGTTGTGCTCTCGCGGCGTGATGGCTGGTGAGGGAACCCTTCCTGCGGTCCAGGAAGTAAAAACTGCGTTGCTGAGAGATCCTTTGTCTCAGTGCTGATTCTTCTGCGTGGCACTGCGCTTCTGTTTCCAACAAAGTCTATCCCAGTGTTTCTTTTTTTTTTTTTTGAGACGGAGTTTCGCTCTTGTTACCCAGGCTGGAGTGCAATGGCGCGATCTCGGCTCACCGCAACCTCCGCCTCCTGGGTTCAGGCAATTCTCCTGCCTCAGCCTCCTGAGTAGCTGGGATTACAGGCACGCGCCACCACGCCCAGCTAATTTTTTGTATTTTTAGTAGAGACGGGGTTTCACCACGTTGACCAGGATGGTCTCGATCTCTTGACCTCGTGATCCACCCGCCTCGGTCTCCCAAAGTGCTGGGATTACAGGCGTGAGCCACCGCGCCCGGCCCTAACCCGGTGTTTCTTACAGGCTGAGTCCCGTGGGGTCACAGTCCTTGCAGATGTCGCCTGGCAGCCGTTGGGTTGGGCTTTTAGGTGTTGTCTTTGGGTGCGTCTCCCTGCATTTCGCTGCGGCCCATAATGCATTGCAGTGATAGTCAGCTCGGGGGCGTCTACAGTATTTGGCTTGTGACCCAGGTGGTCAGGTGAGGCGATGAGTAGACACAGCGAGCATTTTGCAGGCTAGTAAACTTTCATTCTAGACGAAACTCTCTGCTTCAGCTGAAGGCAACTAAAGGGGCCCCAACAACGGGCGCCGTCCATTCGAGCAGGGGCTGGTAGCTTCTGTCCTTCCAGTCTGCAGGCCCAACCTGTCCGAGGTACCTTGTCCTGGACATGGACTGCCCTAGATGTGATTTCCTACAATTCCCTTCTCTTTTCTTTACTTCCCTGTTTGGTTCCATTTCCTGATTTATTTTGCATTCTTTGTTTCTTAAATTGTTTTAAGAGCTGTTGACTCTCTTCGTGATTAGAGAGTAGATCTGATTTGGTTTCTAGTAACACTTGATATATTATGGGCGTTTGTTTGTTGATGGCCGTTTATTAATTTTGGGGTTAATCCTCTAACACGGGGGATATTGCAACACCCTGCAGCTGTTAGGACTCCAGCCACTATTATAAGGGATGTTTGGGTAGAAACGATCATCCCTTTCCATTTTCTGAACCAACCATCTAGCCAGTTAGTAAATGGATTATTAATTCCGGCATTTTCTGCCAATGTGTTGGCTGGAGTTGTTAGCCCTTGTAAGGCTTTTGTGATGGCCCCATCTGGGCAGTGTTGTTGGGAATGAAAGCGCAAACCTTTCCACCCAGCAGAACAGACACACCCCCTTTTCCTGCTAGGGTCACGTCTAGTGCAAGTCTGTTTTCCCAGGCCATTCCGCTGGTGGCATCTAACTGGCTGGCTACCCCTTTGAAGCCAAGAGAAGAATAGTGGTTACCGGAGGCTGAAGTATGGGGTGTGGGGTAAGAGGTTGAGGAAATGTTGGTGAAAAGATACAAAATTTCAGTTGAACAGGAGAAATATATTCAACAGTCACAGCATGGTGACTCTAGTTAATAACTACATATTGTATCTTCAAAAAAGGAAAGAAAAAAGTGAAAGGGTGTATGATACAAAGATAGGAAGGGCAGAAAATAAAAATAAATCCTGCTTGTGTTGTGTTTCAGGCTGTGCTATTCCAAGGACAGGGGAATGCCCAAAGAAACCTGGCCTGCTTGAGACCATAAAGCCAGTGTCTGCGGAAAAGAAAAACTATCATGAGTTGAAATCATCAGAACTCAGAGGGAAAGTGGAAACGGAGCTGGGTGGTAAGGAATTGCACAGACCCTGAGCACGGACAGTGATGGTCTTGGTGAGGAAAACGGTAAGAAAAAAGAGATTAAATGAGATGTGTTCAAAGGTCAGAAAACAGATCACGTGGTGGTGCAGCAGTTGCCTCCTGCTGTGTAACAAGTCGCTCCAAAGCTTGGCGGCTTAAAACAAGGCACATTTATTATCTCACAGTTTTTGTGGATCAGGGATCTTTGTGCGGCTCAGCTGACTTGGTCCTGAGTCAGGTGTCCCAGCAGACACTCTAGTACAGGAGGCGGCTGAGGTTCCAGAGGACACTTGAGTGCAGCTTGTGGTCGAGGTTCCAGGGGTCATTTGAGAAAGTTGCTGAGGTCCCTGTGGGCACTCGAGTCGAGGATGTGTTGTCTCAGGTCCCAGCAGATTTTCAGGTGGAGAAGGTAGTTGAGACCTCAGAGGACACTGTAGTGGAGGAAGTCGTTGAGGTCCCAGAATGCACTCGAGTGGAGAAGGTGGTGGACATTCCAGAGGACACTCAAGTACAGGAGGTGGCTGAGGTCCCAGGGGGCACTCGGGTGCGGGAGGTGACTGAGGTTCCAGGGGACACTCCACTGGAGGACGCTGCTCAGGTCCCTTAGGAAGCGCGTGTGGCTGAGGTGTCAGGTCTCAGTAAAGCTTCAGCTGGAGAAGGTGTTTCAGGTTCCAGAGGATGTTCCAGTGGAGGAGCTGTCAGAGGTTCCAGAAAACCTTCAGTTGCAGAGGGTGGTTGAGGTCCCAGAGGACCTGGAGGTGGAGGAGGTGACTGGCAGCCCATCAATGGTCTGGAAGGGCCAGCCATGAGGTAGGGGAAGTAGGGCCATTCTGACAGAGGACGAGGCTCCTGTTCAGCCATGTTGACCTGCAAGGCAGGAGGAGATGTTTTACAACGTTTTAATACGACAGACAAAACAGCAACACCCACACAAGCTGCACCTGACGCCGCAGGTGACGGTCCCTTGCCCCTTCCCCTTCTTCAGGTTTCTAAATGGCAGCATCAATGCCATAAAGCCTCCCTTCCACTGAGTCCTGCTGACAGCAGGGGAGTGAAGACAAGTCATGGGGACAAACTGTTGTCCCCACATGCCACTGTGTCTGTCTGCAAATGTAGGCAGGCTGGGGCCTGTCCCAGGGAAGACAGAGGCACCACGCAGTAAGAGAGAAGCATGTTTCTGACCCGGGGTGTCTACGTCGGTCCTCAGTCCTCCCTCACCACCATCACCAGAGCACGTTTCTTGTATCGGATCCAGAGAGAGAAAGAGAGGAACGGAAAGCCTATTGCTCACACGAGTCGCGGCTATTCTTAAGAGAATGTTCTCCAGGCTTTTCATGTTCTGTCTCTGAGTCTCAGAACTCTGCAAGGTCAGTGTGACCGCCCTGCTCCAAATCTAAAAAAACGGAGGCTCCCAAAGGAAGGAGAGCATTCACCCCGGGCCACGCAGCTTGCAGGAGGCAGAGCTCTGCTGCAGGACCTCTCATCCCCCCTCTGCTTCCCTTCTTGACAAAGGGTCTTCTCCACTCTAGAGGTGCCACCTGTGGGCACAGAGATCTCTGGGGAGAGGTGGATTCCTGAAGCTCTGCAGGGGAACTGGGAGAGGGTTTCTGACAGAACAATCCTGTGTCCAGATGTTACTTTGGCACAGCTATCATGTTTCTTTTAACTTCCAGGGAATACCAACTTTTAAGTGCACTATGACATAGAACATAATAACTTTTTCCATGAAAAATGGGGTGGGAATTCGAAACAACAGAAGTTTAAAAAATGTGTTTGACGGCAGGGGTGCAAGTCCCATCACGTGTGATCAGAGGACCCAGCAGCTTTTGAAAACACAGAGGCCAACAGGAACCAGCTTCACTGCGCATGGCTGAAGGGCTTCATTGGGAACCGTCCTTGTAGGTAATGAGTGACGCTCACTCTTCACTACCTCACAGCCAGGGCACATTTTCTATTGCAAATGTGGAACCTCTTACCCCTAGAATATTAGACCGAGGGTGCCGCCGTGTGGGGGTGGGAGCGATTTTGCACAACACAGTTACCAACAGAGATGGGACGCTGATGAATTATGGAATTGACTCTGTCCAAGACTATTCAAAATGGCACACAGCACATGCTAATGTTGGATGAATGAGCTTTGACTTTTTTCACTTCTGGGATTACAGCAGATATTCTAAATGTTAATCACCTACCTCACAGGACAAGAGAAATAAAATCACAAAACAAAACCCTACATGTTCTGGAAAGGGGACCCCACAATATTTGGGGTAAAGTGGATCAGTCGGGGTTCCCTGGGCCATGAGCCCTCCAGCAGTGGAGCTCAGTGGCATCTCCTCGTGTGATCTCCGCAGACAGAACACTGGAGGCCCTTCGGTCCTCGGCCCCTCAGCACGCACGGCCTCGGGCGGTGCCACAAAGACGGCCGGCTGGGCATGGAGAAGCCTGGAGTTCCCGGGAAGATGCCGCTTCGGAAAGGCCTGGCAGAAAAGGCTCCCGGAGCCCGCAGGGCAGAGGCCGGGCCAGCAGAGGGCGCCTGGGAAAAGGCAAAAGGGTCCCGTGACGGGCAGCGTGGGAACGGCCCCGGCTGCACCTGTTCTTCATGGCTGATGAGACAGCACGAAGGTAAAAAACGCATTTCACCAAAAGCTCTGCTGGCATCCTATTGAACACTCATCAACCTGCTTAATTTTCATACCGTAAATGGTGGGTAGTTTCATTATTCTTAGGGTGGTAAATCATTCCCCTGATTTTTAATAAAACCCGATATTCATAGTGACGTTCAGAGCCGTGGACTGTTGTAAACCCTTTCTTCTGATTGATGGTTACAAGCGTACCTCCACGGGAAGTTAGCATGCTCACTCCGAGGCCGGTTATCCACAACGAAGTGCAACTGGAGGAATTCCCAGGGAAACAGCAATTAGAATAAGCATCCAGCGAATTTCAGAGAAGACAGGCCTGGGTGCAAACTTCCAGGCAGCACATGGATGACCTGGAATAAAACAGCTGGAATAATGGAAGGCTCAGTGACATTTACCGCATTCCAGTCCCAAGGAATCATCCTTAGAAACCCTCAGCCTCCTCCAAGAGGAAACCGCAGCCCTCAGCTACCAGCAGGGAATTGGAAGTTAACCGTCTCGTGGTTCCTGCATGGCTGGTAGTGTTTTTAAGCATTGTGAATGTGAGGTGTCTTTTTTCTTGGTCTAATGCAGGGATGTCCAACTTTTGGCTTCTCTTAGGCTATATTAAAAGGAGAATTGTCTTGAGCCACACACAAAATACACGAACACTAAAAATACCTGATGAGCTAAAAAATAATTGTAAAAAAAAGAAAAAATCATGTTGGCCAGGCATGGTGGCTCACGCCTGTAATCCCAGCACTTTGGAAGGCCGAGGCAGGTGGATCACAAGGTCAAGAGATAGAGACCCTCCTGGCCATGGTGAAACCCCGTCTCTACTAAAACATACAAAAATAAGCTGGGTGTGGTGGCGCAGGCCTGTAGTCCCAGCTACATGGGAGGCTGAGGCAGGAGAAGTGCTTGAACCCGGGAGGCGGAAGTTGCAGTGAGCTGAGATTGTGCCACTGCACTCCAGCCTCATGACAGAGCAAGACTCTGTCTAAAAAAAAAAAAAAAAAAAAATCATAATGTTTTGAGAAAGTTTACAAATTTGTGTTGGGCCACATTCAAAGCTGTCCTGGCTGCATGCGGCCTGTCACCTGTGGGTTGGCCAAGCTAGGTATAAAGGAATTATCATTTTTAAAAGTTTCTTACTTGCTTTTTAAATTGACATATAACACTGGAAGTATTTATCATGTGTCACACGTGATAAAATAATCCCTGTGAATCACACTTCTTAGATTACGTGAATCTCTGCCATTTAAAGATCAGCATAAGTTACCAGGCGCGGTGGCTCATGCCTGTAATCCCAGCACTCTGGGAGGCCAAGGCGGGCGAATCATGAGGTCAGGAGATCAAGACCATCCTGACCAACATGGTGAAACCCCATCTCTACTAAAAATTCACAAATTAGCTGGGTGTCATGGCGCATGCCTGTAGCCTCAGCTACTCGGAGGCTGAGGCAGGAGAATCGCTTGAACCAGGAAATTGGAGGTTGCAGTGAGCCGAGATCGCGCCACTGCACTCCAGCCTGGTGACAGAGCAAGACTCTCAAAAATAAAAGATCAGCGTAAGTTGAAAAACTACAATAAAGCAATGACTTCATTCAGAAATAACTATCAAATTTTAGTGCTTAAAAATACCAAAGTGGGGATCATGAAAATGGCACGAATATCAAAGATTCTTGAAATTAATTCCATTAGACTCTTATGTGAATGAAGACAAAGACTTCCCCCGAGTAAGCTGAGACGGCTTCTGAGAACATCGCTACATAGATTCCTCAGGATTGAACTGCATGTTCTTGAAAATACCATAATTCTAAGTGTTTCTTTCAAGACGGTGAAACAGAGATAGGTATTCAACAGGTTGGACTGAGCACATGCAGAGTCCGAAATGGAAAGGACCGAGTTAGAGATCCGTGCAACAATGGGAACGACTTCAGAAACGCTGTGTTGAGCAGAATCGGACAGACACAGAAGAGAACCCAGGGCGTGGCATGCCTCTGAAGACGTCAATTCCAAAGCAGGAAAATCAACCTCTGAGGAGAAAGGGATTGGCTGGGAAGAGGGGGCGTTCACTTTCTGGGGTGACGTAACATTGTAGATCTTGAAAGGGGGCTGGGATATGCCGGTGGTGTCCTCCTCAAAGTGAGCAATGTTACACTTAGGATTTGTATAGTTCGTTCTATGTCATTCTTCTTGAGAAGAAATTTTTCTAAAGAAATATTGAATCCTAGTTAGTGTTAGCTTTGCTAAACTGTTCAGCAGGAAGTATGTTGATGTCTCCCATTCAGTTGGAAATACATCTAAAATAAGATGGGCTGATGGATGGAAAGATGGGTCCATATGTGTTGTCATGTTCATTAAAATGTTAACAAATCGACTGTATTTAGAAACATTTTTACAATTAAGTGTTGATGGTTATTGCCAAAATCACTGTGTCATGTCAGTAATTTTCTCCCTTTAAACAAGAGTCCCAAAATAATTATTATTTATGTGCTATATGTTTAACAATTTCACACACAATAGCAATTGGATGTTTTTTCTGTCAGTTGGTCTCCGTGTTGCAAAATGCAAGTACACACAGGGAAAGCTCGCAGAGGTGCTGCTTTCTGGGCTTTCATTCCCAGGACAAAGACCAAATGGGAAAAACAGGCCTAATAGCTCTTTCCAAGGCAGAGGATGGACGCACTGCCATATATGTGTCCACATAGAGCAATGTTACTCAGCAATAAAACAAAAATATTTAAAACAATATGGATCAACATGAACGTGATTCTGCTGACTTTACAGAATTCAGCACAGCAAGAACACCTCTCCTGTATGACTCCATGCCATGAAATGGCGGTGCAGGGGGAGGACAGTAGGATGGAGAAAGAGGGACAGATGGATTCAAAAGCAGGAGGAGGGAACTTTGAAGAGGGAGGAATGTGTTCACCGTCTTGACTCTGGAATGCGGTGATGCTTTAACTGCTGTACCGTATGTAAAGGTCAGCAAATTGTATTCTTTACAAAGAGGCTACTTCATACGCAGGACTGTACATCACTTAAACAGTAGGAAGGAAAAGTGAGACACAAACGATTAGTTTTTAATCATCTGAAAAAACATTGCAAATATTTTTTAAAATAATTATAGAACTTTACCTAGAAATTATACTTCAATTTCAAATGGAAATAAGAAAATACAAACAGTGCTTGGGAAGCTAAAGTCTTCTTTTAAACATTTAGAAAACTGTATTACATTCTTTGAAATATGTCCAAAAATATGCCCACACTGTGTGGAAAAATGAGAAAAGTGTAAGAAAAAAGTGTCCAAGTTATAGATGAAAATATTACATAAAGATATGTTTGTCTACACACAAAACTGAGAGTGGACAGCTGCTGTAATGAGAACACCTAGGTTATATTCCAGCAAAAATAATCACAGATTGTTGTTTAGCTCGTTTCTAGAAACATTAACTTATTTATTTATTTATTTATTCATTTATTTTGAGATGGAGTCTTGCTCTGTTGCCAGGCTGGAGTCCAGTGGCGCAATCTTGGCTCACTGCAACCTCCGCCTCCTGGGTTCAAGTGATTCTCCCGCCTCAGTCTCCCAAGTAGCTGGGACCACTGGCGGATGCCACCACGCCCGGCTAATTTTTATATTTTTAGTAGAGATGGGGTTTCACCAAGTTGGCCAGGATGGTCTCGATCTCTTGACCTTGTGATCTGCCACCCTCAGCCTCCCAAAGTGCTGGGATTACAGGCGTGAGCCACCGCGCCTGGCCCAGCTTGTGAAAACCGATTAATTTTAAGTGTTTCTTTCAAGACAGTGAATTAAACAGAGATATGTATTCAACAGGTTGGACTGAGCATATGCAGAGTCCGAAATGGAAAGGCCTGAGTTAGAGATCCGTGCAACAATGGGAACGACTTCAGAAACGTTGTGTTGAGCAGAATCGGACAGACACAGAAGAGAACCCAGGGCGTGGCATGCCTCTGAAGACGTCAATTCCAAAGAAGCAAAATCAACCTCTGATGAGAAAGGGATTGGCTGGGAAGAGGGGGCGTTCACTTTCTGGGGTGACGTAACATTGTAGATCTTGAAAGGGGGCTGGGATATGCCGGTGGTGTCCTCCTCAAAGTGAGCAGGAAGTGCTGAAACGGAGCACTTCATGTCAGATTTTCAAACTCCGGAAAGATTTGCGTAACAGAGCCTTCTTGGAATTATGATTAAAACTGTGAGAATTTAGGTCAGCTAAAGACACAATACCAAGTAACCCCTAGCAAGAGTTCACCTTCATATTGCAGAGCATTGAGCCTAAAGCACTCGGGAGCAACGTTGGGAATCCTCATGGAAAACAATACGAACTCTCTGGAATGTAGGCCACCAGCACACAAGGCACACACTATTTTACACACACGGGACTTACATGTATTGGGGGACAAAATCAATTCAAAGCGCAGTTCAGACCAATCCACATGCCAGGACTCAGTTTTGTGCAAATGAAACCTCTCTAGAAAGCAGCCTCTGAGCTCTGCGGCACCTTCGTCTTCAGCCTCACGACTGCAGCCTGGCTCCTGGGAGGGACGCGCTGTCCCTGAGGAGCCCCCCTCGGGAAGGAAGCAGGAGCTCTGGGCGCAGTGGTGAAAGATGTGGATCAAATGCACAAGAAGGACAAAGGCCATCCTGTCACTGACCTGGTGTCCACCAAAGCTGCTCCTGCCATTGACCAGAAAACATCCCCCGTCCTGGACGCTCTTGTCACATCTGACAGTTATCTGGACACAGGTCATCAGCAGTGGGCTCCTGCCCAGATTAGGTCCCATGGGGCCAGGAACAGCTTAGGTTCTGACAGTTGATGGCCATGAGCAAGGGTGGAGGTGGAAAATGCAATGAGAAACCTTTATCCAAGTCTTCAAAGGTGAGCGAGGGAAAGAGAGTTTAGCCGATTTATGAAAATGCCACCAGGTAAAGGGAAATGAATTCCAGCAAAGATGATCATGACATTTCCTCCTTCATAGACTGAAAAGAATCAAGAGGCTCTCCTGTGACTGGAGGCACTCCTGTGGGGCGATCTGCCTCCAGGCACTGGTTGCTCCCCACCATACACTTTTCCAGACCCCTCTCTGAGAATCAGGGGCATGCCGCTCAGAACAAATACTCTCCTCTCTAGAAGGTGCCCTCTCCTGAGCGTGGTGGAGAGGTTTTAGAATGTGAGGGTGAAAACTTCCAAAGCAGACACCTGTGATTTCTTTCTGTTTGGACAGTCATAAGGACATTAAGACCCGTTCTGCTTTGGGTAAATCAGTGATCTGCACGAGACACATTTGACAGAACAAAGGGCAGTGCAGTCCTCGTTCACACCCTGGCCATGTCCCTCCTGGTGTCTCCCCCGCTGCAAACACCCCCGCAGGGTCAGCCCTTTTCTCTGTCATCTGATGGGCTTCTGGGGCTCGCATGACTCTGACTGGACACAGACTCCCTGGAGGCAGCTCCCAAGAGCAGAAGACACAATGACTCCGAAGTTCCTAGAAAGTCATCAAAGCAGATGACACAGAACTCAAGTGACATTTCACTGTGTTGTGTTTGAGTCAAGGTCTCCTCTGTGGCTGAGGCTGGAGTGCAGTGGGGCGATCTCGGCTCACTGCAACCTCCACCTCCTGGGCCCAAGCGATCCTCCCACCTCAGCTCTGATGCC